CCCATACAAAGTCAATCTTTTACACTTGCTATGTTAGAACATAGTTTCCTATGAATCATCCACTAACCATGTATAATATAAGGGTGACAACAGTGCTCCTACCAACATTGATATATATATATATATATATATATATATATATATATATATATATATATATATATATATATATATATATATATATATATATGGCGCATCTATGTTTCTCGAAATTCAAACTCCAGAATTTTCTCATTGAAACAAATATTCCAATTACTCCCACTTGCCTTGAAATGTATATGGTTCATCTGTTGGATTAGGTGTCTAAGCCCATAACTATAATTGGTATGTACTTGACCCGAGAGTAGCATGGTCCATTTTGGGTTTCCTTCACCAAAACAATTTGACAGGAGGGATATTTAAGAAAGAGGTTATTTGTGATTTATTAATATATTATAAGTATAATATATTAATTGAGAAATCATATTATTTAATTAATATTGGTCAAGAATTGATTTGGAGTTAATTTAGTGATCAAAAGAGATTAATTAAATTAAGGGGATTGATTAAGTAAATTAGGAATACATATAGCTTGGGCCAATGATTCATGCTTGATTAGTGATGGACTAAGTTTATGTGAGATTCCATGAAGTGTTAGTCCATAAGGCTTATCATATGGATTATTGGATTAAAGGCCCAAGGAATGAATTAGGGTTTACAAGTTGAAACCGTAGGAATTCCACACTATAAAAGGCCCAAGGAATGAATTAGAGAACGCTAGCCGATTTTGGTGGTTCTAGCTTCTCTCTCAAAGTCCTCCATTTGTTCATGGTGTTTGTGACTTGTTTAAGGCTTCACACTTGAGGTGCTAAGCTCTTGAAAGGCCAACAACCACAAGCTACAAATAAGAGGTACTTTGCTAACTAGTTATATGATTCATGTACCAAATTCGTATGCTAGATAGGTTTCATGCTTTGGATAATTTTTTGTTGCATGTATAACTAGAGAAAACTTAGATCCAAAGCATTAGGGTTGTTTGTGCCTCATACGAGTGTTCTAGTACATAAAACTCAACAGTGGTATCAGAGCCATGGGTAGTTTTCTGTTATATGGATGCATTGTTTAACTGTTCAAAGTTGAGAAACCTGAAAATATTGTTTGACTGCTTGACTCGATGAGTCCCATGAGTGGACTCAACGAGTTGGCTCACATGACCATGAACTCGACGAGTCCATTGCCTGGCTCGATGAGTTGGATCATTAAATGGCAGATTTTCGAGTTTTTGGCCTGTTTTGGATTAGCATCATTACCACAAAATGTTTTGGCTCATAAAATTCGATTTTACTGATATGGTAATGATTGTCCCCATCCAATAACATGATGATTGTCAAATTATAAGATAATTACTTCATTTTGTGAAAAACTAATTATTTGTAGAATTTGAAATTATCTTGCCATATGAATTGAAATAGTTCAAATTAGTAAAAGATAAAATTATATGATTATTTTATTAGTTTAAAATTTGAACTAAATGGCTTTGAAGAGTTTCATAACTTGCCATCAAGTTATGGAATTTGGAAAGTCTCCTTTATGACTAAAGAGAGTTATAAAACTTGTCATCCAGTTTTGGAACTCAAAAGTTTTTTAAGGAGTTACAAAATTTGTCATCAAGTTTGGAATACAAGTGCTTTTTGAATTAAGTTTTAGAATTTGAAAAGTCTAATCAAAACTTTTTAATTTGAGACATTGAATTCTCAAACATCTAGTAATTTGAAAAGATTTCAAAAGGTGCAACTCTTGGGTTCATAACTTAAAATTAAATAAATATTTTTTAATTTTTAATTTTTATATATAGAACCTTGATGTTTTTGAATAGTTCAAATTACACCTTATGGACTTTACTAAATTGATTAAAGTGTTTAATTAAGAGAGAATGAATAAATCCATAATGATATGTTTTAAGTTTAATTAAATTAAAATTTTAATTTATTAATAGATTAAACCACTTAGTATTTTAAAAGCTTAAAATACACCCTTATACTATATAAAATTAAAATTTTAATATATTATATATGTATAAGTTAAAAGTCAATCTTACCGTTAGTAGGCCTCATTCACGAAGCTGTTCTATAAGGGGAGTTTAAGGAAATTGCCTATAAAATGACGATTGAATGGGTATCCACTCTTACCCACCACACTCTTGACTAGTGGAGGGTCGATAGCTGAACGGGTAGGATATGACATTTAAATACTCATTAAAAGTATAATGAAATATAAAGTATTTAAACCTTTTATAAATTCACAATATTAGTTACTTTAGGAAAATGTGAATTTGATGCTAACCCATAAAATTGCACATTGCACCTTATTGGTCAGTTAGTGGAGCGGGTGTGGTTAACTGGCACACTAATGTCGACTAATGAATGATGGCAATGGGTTTCTCGTAGTTTGTCATAGATCAATGGAGCGTGTGTCATTAACCGACACATTGATTAGATGATAAATGACTTCGAGAGTACCAAACTGATTTGCATGGTTATTCACACCTTGTTTGTGATCCTCAGTATCCCAATCACAAACTTGAAGGGCATAATCGATATTAAATATTCCATTGAAAAGTTTAATGAATCTCAAAAGATCTAGGAATTTCATTTAAAGCCTAATTCGTTTAAAATTTCATTTTCGTGGTGGAATTGGTAAATCGTCATTTACCTACCTTCAAATATTTTACAATTGGATTACGGCATCCCTCTTCTGAATTGTACAATATTGTGTTGGTTCCTTGCATTAATATTTCATTTTGGTGTTATATTAATGACTTAAATCAACTAAACTTGAACTTCTCCATTGTAAATGTCTAGTTCTGACAACTATGGTCTTCCAGAATCTTTTGGAAAAAGTTTTCCTCATGAAGATGATGTTCCTAAAAATCATACTTCATTCCTCCACCTCCTCCAATGATTCTCCTTGACCGACATGTTTGTTGACTTGAAAAGTTAAAGGTCACTTAAACCCTATTAGCAAGCAAACACGAAGATGGAAAGTCTGTATGTGCTCACGTCTTGGAGATGAAGTTGCATAGTCACAGGCTGGGAATGTTGGGTGTCGTTTTCCCAAGGAAGTTGGCTGTTGACTTGGTTCTTCAGTTACTCCCCGAGTCGTATAGTCAGTTTGTTAAAGACTACCATATGACAGATCACTACGTGACCCTTATTGATCTTACATATTTGCTAATTTCTATTGAATAAGCAATGATTTGGCGCACTAGTCAAACATATTTGATTGGAAGATTTACTTACTAAACTTCAATGGACATTGACAATGGAGACATTGGATGTCTAGAAAAGCTTTATCTTCCCAATGGAAAGGGATTGGCCATGGTCAAACCGTTTTACCAAATGGAAAAGAGAAAGGCTAAGTCTGATATTGTCCCGTGTGCCGTTCCAAAAGATTATGTTTGTTTCTATTGCCAAGAGAAGGGGCATTGGATGCGAAGCTGCCGTATGTACCTGAAAGACCATAACAGTGGTAAGGTCAAAGTGTTTGACTCTGCTTTAGGTAAGTCCACTATCTAACTCTATTAAGTTCCTATTTCTAGATTCTTATTACATGATGTGATAAAATTACATTTTGATGTTTTGCAGGATTGAAAAGGAGAAAGGAACCTTAAAGAAAAAGCAGGTTGAGTCTGATCGCGAAAAGATGGATTTCGATCGCATCATTCGATGATTAGAGTTTCGAGCTGCTGCTTAGGAGTTATGATAGATTTCTTAGGAATATTTAGAAACATAGTTTTCATATGTACTTGCATTGTAAGGAAAGGTTTTATGCAATTTATAAATACAGAAAAATTTTGATTTTATCTTATTTTATATTTCCTTGCAATGGCATTTTTGAAAATTGATGTTTGCATGTTTCTATTTTTAGCAATATGGATTTTATTATTTCGTTTGTGGCACTGCTAATCTGGTCAAGCAGGTCATCAAGTCAATAAATTGGAAGTTTGTACCTCACTGTGATCTTATTGATGGTGCCACTATCAACACACATACACCAAGTACCATCCTTTTTAGGAGTTAACAAAGTAGGAACGACATACAAACTCATGCTCTCCCGAACATGACTTTTTGAAATTAAGTCCTCTACCTGTCGTCGCAACTCGTCATGCTCTCCGAGACTCACTTTGTAATGTGGCCTATTAGCCAATTAGGCTCCTTGTTGTAAATCACTTTGTAATGTGGCCCATAATTAAAACACTTCAAGCTACTACTACTACCAGTTTCCTTAGGAGTTGTTCCAGCACTGCTAATTGTCAGTCTTTGCTGGTTAGACGCAACATGAGGTACCATACCACCCATCTCAAAACTTCATTCAACAATGGCAGTAAAAAGTGAACCGCCTACCCGTCAGTTTTGTTTCACAAAAGCCAATGCCGGTTGGTGTGCTTCAAAAATGGATACCGGGCCAAACATATTTATAGAGTCCATGATTTGGACCCGTAGACCCCCAATATATCGAGCAACACGTTATTCCTCTGACTCCTGTATATCATTTTGGGAAATCAATTGATAGAGCTCAATTGTGTAATCCTTAACTGATTTGGCACCCTGCTTTAGCTTTTGCAAATGTTGGTACATCAGCCCTTGAAAATTATGGGGAAGGAAGTTGGATCGTAAACAATTCTTCATCTTCCTCCAAGTCATGAACTTTGAATTTCTTATCCTCTCTCGTGTTAGTTTCAATTATTGCCACCATGAAGATGCCCTACCACGTAGCTTGGTAGCGATCAATGACACTCTTATGTTTTGAGGGACTTCTTTGAACTCAAAAACTTCCTTAATAGTAGCCAACGAATAGATGAACCCATCCAGATTCAAACTAACCCCATCAAATTCCGGGATATCAATTCTTATTCCATCCTCCCAATGCCCGTTATCACCCCAAGATCACGCCTTGGTTACCTTTGCAGTTCGTCTTTAGAATATGAATTGTCACTGTCGCCGAATGGATTCCTAAACCCATCATTTTACACCTGCGAATGAGTTCGACACCTTCGACCTCCTAGATTCATTAGTTCGACCATCCATCCAGTCAATTGACCAACTATCTGATCCATCCTCTCCTCTATTTGTGCCATAAGATGCTCTTCCAACTCTTGTTAATGAACATTGGCGGGTGTCCTGTTTCTCCTCGGAGGCATCTTGAACCAAGAATTCGGCTTTGTTACCAACTGATGCAGTGTGCAAAAACAAACAATGACAAAAAAAAAAAGATAAACAAGAGTAAACCTATTGATTCTAACCGAATCACCAAAATCTCTTCAAAACCACGTTGATTCTACGAATACGATGGGATTGGCTTCAAAAATCTGGTTTAACACACAAAATTTTGGTAGAAAATTGGAAGTTCATTAACAAACACAAACCCTAAAGGTCCAAGGGCCAAACACAAACCCAAAAATTAAGGAAAAATAACAAAATTGTTCATAATTTCATTTAGAAACGATTTTTGGGTACAAATATGGGTAAGTCCCCTACAAATACTTATCTACACGTGCTCCTTCCTCCAAGCTTCGATTTGACTGGTCATAGGCTCAAAAAGGAGTTACGTAGCCAGAGTTATGACCATTCCTGTGAAGCCCCTTTAGTCACACGATCATGGGCCTCTAGGAACACAAGGGCCCGATCCTCCAAACTAGGGCCGACATCACAATTGATACCACTCAAGATCATGAGGAAGGATTAAGAACAAGACAATTAAGGCGATTACTTGCTCGTCATAAGAAAGAGTGGGTAAGAAAGAAAAGCAACAACGAGGACCTATGTAGAGCATGAGTGTAGGTAACCAGAAAGCAACCATAATTCTATTCATGAGTAATAAAAAGAAAGGTGTTTCCATGAAAACATTGAACAATACACTTATTCTTTATAGATAGATCGGTCAGCCGACTACTCTGACATAACGGTCAAGTGCTATAACTTAACTAAAGCTACCTGCTTTGCCCAAGTATAATCTTATTCTTTACATGTAGCTCGGTCAGCCGACTACTTTGACATAATTCTCTAGTCCTACAACTTAACCAAGGCTACCTGATTAGCCCAAGAATACACTTATTCTTTATAGGTAGCTCGGTCAGCTCAGTACTCGAACATAATGGTCAAGTGTTACTTTGATATAACGGTCAATTGTAAGAACTTGACAAAGATTACCTTCCTAGCTGAAGAATATACTTATTCTTTATAGGTAGCTCGGGCAACCGATTACTTTGACAAAACAGGCAAGTGCTACAACTTGACCAAGGCTACCCGCTTAGCCCAAGAACACAATTATTCTTTATAGATAGCTCGGTCAACCAAAAAATCTAACGTAATCATCAAGTACTACAACTTAACCAAGGCTACCCGCTTAGCCCGAGAATACACTTATTCTTTAAAGGTAGCTTAGTCAGCCGACCACTCTGACATAATAGTCAAGTGCTACAACTTGACCAAGGCTACCCGCTTAGCCCAAGAATACACATATTCTTTATAGGTAGCTCAGTCATACGACTACTCTGACATAAACGTCAAGTGCTAAGACTTGACCAAGGTTACCTGCTTATCCAAAAAAATACACTTATCCTTTACAAATAGTTTGGTTTGTCGGCTACTGTGCGGTGAAAGGTGGCATTTTGAGCAAAAATAATTAGTTTGACTGGTGTCCCAATAATACACTTCTTAGTTATAAGAAGGCTGGCTAACTGATTACGATCATATAACAATTAGGATACTACACGCTCTCAAGAGGAACCTTTTCAACCAAATTAAAACAAGTATAAAGAATTTTGACAAGGTACACTGTACCAAGACGTGAATCACATGCCAAGTTTGAAACAAATGGTGCCCAAAGCAGTGCACGTAAGATCATAACAAAAATCATAAGGAATGTACCTAGACGAAGTAGAATCGTCTTCAAATCGAAAAAAAAAACACAAAACAACCTATTTACCAAAGTCAGGAAGTGATATTATGTTCAGAAGAAGGGTCTTCTACGAAACATAAACAACGATGCAAAAGAAAAAAAAAACCACAATAACAAGATAACTATCCATGGGAACAAAATAGTGCATCAACAGCTAGTGATCAAAGAAACAACATGATGCCCATCAAACCATAAACCACATCATGATAAACACTAAACAAACATGCCACAGATACAGAAAACACAAATAGAATGAAATAGATTGTCTTCATCACTTAATTCTCATTGTTATCCCTACCACTAGTGGAAGTCTCACGATAACCATGCTTAGACACCAGATCTCGAAATTGTTCCACACTGCTAAAAGGAAAGCCCAACATTTCGAGGTAATCACCACAGAACAAGGAGGAAAATGCCTCCTCCATATATTCAAAGTGTGCATGATCATACAAAGGTATTATTAGGAGCAGCTAAATCCAAGCCATGTTCATTATTCATCATCTCACACCCCTACCTCATGCCATAATCAACACAAAATATTTGCGAGTCTCAGTTGGCTTCATAAAATGATAACTCAACAAACAACTTGTCCACTACTTTTGCTATACCACTCGATGAAATCCACTCCACGTATTTATTCGGCTTACGAGCCTAACCATCCCCCTATCACACTTTCTTGAAGATATGTGTTCTTTAAGGAAAAGGCACTAATATCACTTTTCAACTTCCGAACACAGTGCTCAACCATTGTAATCTTATCCACAAAACCAACCTTCTCTAATTCAACAGATGCAAGTTTTTAACTCATTTAGTTTCATATTTGGAACCATGCCAGCACCTATACAAACTTTCTCCAACTCGGAGACCTTCTCAACAAGACCCACATACTAGTAACGAAAAACCTGAATGTTGTGAGAAACACCCCTTGACATAGTAACAAAAGGTTTCACGAGATTGGATACCCCTTGAATTCATCTTGCAAGCCACGATTCTCCCAACGAGACTGCTTCATTACCATCCAACCAAGACATTACTTCATGCCCCAACACCATGTTTTCCACAAGCCTGATTTTAAACATGTCTCAGGTATGCTCCCTAAGACCTCTCCCTACGCTTGACGTACCAGGTGGGGCAATTTTTACAAAAAAAAGATATAGTCGCCTTTGGACCCAACAAGGATTAATCCCGTCTATATTCCCAACAGGGAATATATATATATATATATATATATATATATATATATATATATATATATATATATATATATATATATATATATATATATATATAGGACCACACGGATGTGAAAGACTCGAATCGTGAGGGGGGCTAGTTGTATTGAGTTGTTCAATATAAGATGAAGGATGATTAACTCCCAAACTATGAGAATATGATTGAAATGCACTAGGATACAAGAAACAAGACCCATTTATAACCTTACCTCCACTACTATCATCCCCACCAGACGAAACAGCTGCAAGGGCGACATAAGTGATTGAACCCCTGTCTCTCGTATGACAAATAAAAGACTCTCTTTCATCACCACCATTCCCATTCTCATCATTATTCACAAAAATCGAAGCAATATCAATATTAGGGGTCTTCTCGCCCACATCATCATCATCAGCGCAATGGACCCTAACAAACAATGATGTCTCTTCCGTGTCATCTTCAACATCCCCAAAGTTGCTACCTTCATTACCACTATCATTTAAATTATCATCAAAAGTAGGCATGCATGTCAAAGTCATCAAAGCCAATATCTCGTGGCGAAATTTTCCCTTCCACAAAATCACATAAACAAATGGTAGACGATCTCCATCTAAAGAAAATAAGGGAATGAGTATGTTATTAATCCACGAAGATAAATAAGCAAAATTAAAAAGAAGAAGAGTACATAACCAACGCTTGAACAAATAAAGATGGAATCTCACCCTTACGCATTCAATGAGGGCTCATGCCAACTTGCCCTAGAACAGCCTAAGGAAATTTCTTCTCCACAACATTAAAATAGTAAATTTTATCTATATCTTGTCTCAAATCGGGAGTCATATCAGGCTTCCAATCAATAATGGTACCATGAAGATGAAAAACATTACGATCAGTAAAATGAGACATGTTTAACCAAACAAACTCATTTTTTCCTTTCCTAATGGGATTAGGAAGACCATCAACCAAATTGCGATGTTGCGAGTAAAAATAGTACTAGGAACCATTGCTACAGATTCAAAAGAAGTATTGAAACAAATACACTACAGGAACCACAAGGGCGTCATGACCCAATAACTTAGAACAAAGAATTTTGGAGATGGAATTAGGATTCACTAGATAAGTGTGAATCTTGTAAGCCTCAATAATAAGTCCAAAAAAGGGAGAAGGAGGCACACACACAGGTCATCCTTGAAATAATAAAGGTAGAAGCCAATCTTACCTCGAGGAGGACGATCGATTAATACTTTGGGGCTAGGAAGAACTGCAACATCTTCTTCAGTAAGGTGATACTTCTAGGAAATTTGGTCAAGATGCTCATGAGTAACAGTTGAGTGAATAACAGACTTAGACGAGACATGACAATCCTTGAGAAAAAGGAAAAACAGAAGGATGAAACGATGTATAATGAGCAAAGATGTAGTAACAAGATTGATGGATGTGACAAGAATATATAAGGAGCGAGAAGAAGGAAAGGCAACTTTTGCCAAATCAATCAAGTGAACGCCATCACAGAGACCAATGTGCGTGTAACAAACTGTCGATCATATCGCTGCCCGACGGACCTAATAACAAATTTAAGACTAATTATTAAAAATAGCTTAGCAACTATTCTTAACAATTAGGTTGGGGGACTTAGACCGGAGGGTGTGGGAGGGACTCTACCCTCACTTTTGGTGGATCATACCCCTCTTTCCCTCACTTCCCTTTCCCTCACCTAAAAGCCAAGGAATGGGTGGGAAGCCCTTCCCTCATTTTTTTTAATATATTTCATACATATATTATACTCATTTTATAGCGAATTAAAAACCATGAATTTTGATATATTTTTTATGTTTTTATAATACGTATATAATTTTATAAATATTAAAAAAGATAAAAAGAAAAAAAAAAACTGGCCAACAGGGTGAGGAGAGAGAGAGTGCGGCAACCGCTTCCCCCACATCTTTTCCCGCGTTTCTTTCCCTCACCCACGAAGTGGTGTGCAGGAGTGAGGGAAGCTTCCCTCACCCCTTTCTCGAACCCACTCCGTCCGACCTTAATGGTGTAAGATGAGCAACCAATACAAGAGGAGGTTGGCGAAGGATCAAACCATAATAAACAATAAGACCAAACACACAATACAAGCTGAAAACTAACTTACCTGCCAAGCGAGTAATCTGCATGGTGAAATTTTTCTAAAAGATTTTCAAAATAACATCCCATGAACAAGGAAAATATATGATTATTTTATTAAAGGTTTATACCCTTGTGACCTACGGATAAATGGGAGACACAGATGGTAAAGTTATAGGCTGGACTTGACTTCACCTATAAAAAAAAGATAATCTTGTATCAATAAACTAGGTTAATACCCATGGAAACTGCAGATATGAATAAAAAATACTATTGATAATTTTAAATCCTAATTACCAATCAAAGATTAATAAAAATTTATTAATTTATAAAGATAGAAGTGTCGTTTGTAAATTTATCTATCTATATATATATATATATATATATATATATATATATATATATATATATATATATATATATATATATATATATATATATAAAAAAACACTATTGATAATTTTAAATCCTAATTACCAATCAAAGATTTATAAAATTTTATTAATTTATAAAGATAGAAGTGTCGTTTGTAAATTTTTGTATATATATATATATATATATATATATATATATATATATATATATATATATATATATATATATAGAAGTAGGTTCATGCGAAAATATAAATATCTTGCGAAAACGCGAAAACAGATTTTATCTTGTGAAAATCAAGCACATGTACTATAAAAAAATAAATTTATTAGCAATAAATTAAATATAGTAAGTTTACATTGGATGGTGTTATGGTAATATAGATTTAAAGACGGTTTTGATAATTATATTTTTTTATGTCCTTAATCATTTTTAAATTCATGTTTTCTTAATAAAAATGTTAAAAATCATACTTTGCTAATATGAACAATTTATCATCTATCATCGATTATCATCATATATTTCAAAGTTTGGATGAATTATTTTCCAAAATATAATGTTGAGGTGACACAATATCATTGGTTTTTCTTGTTTTCTTGTTTTCGCAAATTATTTGCATTTTCGCATGAACTCTCCCCTCTATATATATATATATATATATATATATATATATATATATATATATATATATATATATATATATATATATATATATATATATGTATGTTATGAATACTTGATATAAATTTTACATGTGTAGATATTTGATAAAATCATGATTTTATAAAATGCGACACAAATTTGAATGGAGTGAAAATAACCAATCAATCAAGGAAATGACATAGTTATATAACAAAATAAAAATGATGGTAACGTAATAAACATACATAAACATAACATGATAAATTATAAAATAAAATGATGAATGAAACGTGATTTACTAAAATTAACTAAATGATAATATAAAAAATTAAAATCTACAAATTCTTTATAAATTTTTGAAAAAAGACTACAGATAATATTGGAAGTTTTATTTGTAAGTCTACCATCTTTATCTAAAAGTTAAAAATTTAATCATTCTTTTACTTTAAACTATGTAGATAAAACAATACAAAGTTGAATATGTAACATCCCAAAAATCATGGATAAATTGTTTAAGTCTAACTTAATTGGAGACCAACAAGTATTCATAGCATTCTCAAACAAAGTATCTCAAAAGACAGTAATCATCAGAGCATACAATCAAAATCATAAAGAAAATGTGAAATATGGGTGGATGCACTACGATCATGTCGTACCCTTCCATTTTATACCTGAAGTATCTGAAATCATAAATATAATTGTAAGCACAAAACTTAGTGAGGTTCCCCAAAATACCACATACAATGAGCACATATATATATATATATATATATATATATATATATATATATATATATATATATATATATATATATATATATTACAACATGTGGCTGTGTCACGTTCGTATTAACCCCATACAATAGCATGTAGCTGTGTCAAGTCTGTATCAACCCAAATAATAGCATGTAGCTATGCCGGGTCTGTATCAACCCCCGAGTTCGTAATGACTCTGAGCCAAGTTTGGCTCTCTCTCTCTCTCTCTCTATATATATATATATATATATATATATATATATATATATATATATATATATATATATATCATTCAATTAAACATAATCACATAAATCTAACACACAATAATCTCCAGGCCAACATTGGTGCCTTTGACCCACTAGTGTGGTAAGAAGACTCACCTCCCAAAAGTAGATAACTGAACCACACACTTGAGTTGCTACTAACACGACTCCGCACACTAATTATATCCAAAAATTAACCCGAATTAATAATTCGGGTTTTAAACCCATAATAAATGGTCCAATACTCCCATTATCCTAATTAGGGGAAAATGTCATTTAGCTCTTCATATTAGGCCCAACTTAAAATCACAACTCTTAATGGTCCAAGGCCCAAAAGAATCGCCCACAAGTTGGAATTGAGTCGTACGATCCACATACCACTTTGTACTCCCTGTGTACAAACGGCTGATGCCAGAGGGGAGTTAGGGTCGTGGTGTTGTATGCGCAACGTACTCATTTTTGCGCCCGACATACTCACCCTGGATAATAACTCTCCTTAAGGTCTTATTGACTTAAGACCATACGTCTAAACTTCGTATCTGATCTTAATAAAACATCTAAGGCCATAGATTTGTAATCTTTATGCCGTTGCATGGTTACAAGGAGCATAACACTAAAAACCTAATTTATTCAATCATTTGCTACCCCATAACTCTTGCATGGGAGCAAACCAAGAACCAATCTTGCATTTTTTTAAATTGAAATACCCTAAATTGTGAAAGAGTATAACTCAAAGGTTTTGGAGTATGCCATACTCACATTAATCAAGATTTAGGATAAAAATGTGCCAACTTTAAGCTAAACTTGATCTTAATGAAATATTCATCAAGTTTGGAGCTTTATACCTCTAGAAGATGCACAAGAGAGAGTAGTTGATAGATCCAAAGCCTTGAGTGAAACAACACAACTTCTAGGTTCTTCCTAAACTACCAAGGGCAAAAAAATGGCACCAAAATGGCTCTCCATGATTCAAAACAAACACACACTTTAGGGTTTTGTGATAGGGTTGGAGACTAAAGACAAGGAAGGGTATATGGCTATAATGACGCTTAAATATGGTCCATACCTAAAATTTAGGGTTTTCACCATGGCCAGTATGCCTAGCATACGAAACATACACCCATCGTACGCGAGCCTTGCCTAAAATTACGAAAATGCCCCTTGGGACTATATTTGCAAACCAATCTCAAAACAAAGGTCAAATTTGAAAATACCTGTAAATAAAGATGTTACAACTCTCCCCCACTTGAACTAGACTTCATTCTTGAAATCTATCTGTAACACCTGATTCTTGGTATGTATTTTATTCTAGTATCTTGCATTTTAGCCTTGGACTCGGTGAGTTGAGGTCCAATTTGTCAAGTCATAGCGTATTGGACAAAGAAGTTTAATGACCTACTCGACGAGTCCATGTCTGGACTCAGCGAGTAGGCGCTGTCCGGACAAAGCCCTAGATGAGGGTGCGCACCCTATTTAAACCACTTATTCAGCCTCTCTTTCATCCCCAATGCTTCCAGACCTCCCCATAGCAAACCCTAACCGTTTTTTAGAAGAACTAAGGCATTTTAGTGGATCTTTCTA